TCTCAAGTATCACCAATGGAGTTTATTTTTGGTTGGAAATTTCCTTCGATGAAAATGTTTATCATTGTTTGGCTAGTTTTTATATGGAATAAAGAATAATGATTTCATATATCATTGATGGTTAAAAAAGAATCGTTGCAAGTCCTTATATTATAAACACGAAGTGATGAACCCTGATCTGTTGGTTACAATGGTAAGCCAAATCTTGAATTACAACATATGTTAACTTACTCAGATTGGATCCAAATGAAACTCTTTTGAGATAATCTTTGAATTATAATTAGATATTTTGTATAGACTGAAGAGGATATGAAGTTAGAATAGAACCGACAACCGCAAACTATACATCATTCATAATAAATTCACAGTCGAGTGTATGATTCTTTTGTTGCAATCTATTCGATCACATTACTACTTCTATGGATATAAAAGTTCAATGACAGAACGAAAAGTCGATGCATTTGTTATTCAAATAATTTGAATCAACCATTGTAAACACAAATCCATAAGGCGAAAAGGATTCTGTCATTACAGGAAAGGAATTTCAGTATCCTTTAGGTATTAGAACATATTACTCATAACAAATTTCAATAGTATACCTCATCCGGTCTTTCTGACAAATAGCTTCACAAATATTATTAATGGAAATTACAACAGCTTTCCTATTATTTATTTTCATTCCTAGATTAGCTCTATTTTCCTATTACAACAAATTGCACATATATTATATATCAACGTGTATGGAATCTCAAATCAATGAAGAATCAATTTTCATTCAAAACCTAAATCTAACATGGTATCAGAGCTTTGAGGTTCAGCTGTTCCATACCTCTCCATGGCCGGAAATCAATTTGCTCCTGCTCCAAAGTCATCCACAGATGCCGCATCACCTTATTTCTTACATTCTTCGGATCAACCAAATCAATCTCTCGTTGATGTACCCCTCAACGGCGACAATTATCCTTCTTGGCGTCGCGCCATAACCTGAGCCCTTAATGCCAAAAAAAGCTTGGTTTTGTCCTCGGCACCATCAAACGCCCAACAGATGATATGGCCGCTGCTCAACTTTGGGATCGATGTTGCGATATGATTATGTCCTGGCTTCTTCAATCCATCGACCGTTCCCTTGTAGGAAGCCTCATCTACTGTGACACGCCAAATGATCTCTGGACAGAATTGGAAACACGGTTTCAACAGAGCAACCGCACCAAAATCTTTCGGCTGAAACGAGAACTCGCCAATCTTCATCAAGAGAACCAATCAATCACCAACTACTACAACAAATTGAAGGAACTATGGGATTCTTACAGCCCACGAACCCATGTACCTGTGGTGCAGCTAAGGCTCTTTCTGACATCCAAGACTCCGATCGGGTGTAACAATTTCTTATGGGACTGAACGACAGTTTTCAACAACTCAGGTCTCAAATCCTGGCTACAGACCCCCTTCCCTCCATTGGCCGATGTTACGCCATCCTTCACCAAGAAGAAACCCAGAGGATGGTCCAACTTGCTTCTCGCCCAGAGATATCGGCTTTATTCACTCGGTCGACGACTTCACAAAGAAACCCACCCCGTCCCCGTCGCGTCTGGCCGGCTGGAAAGCCACTGTGTGAGGAATGTGGCAAACCCGGCCACCCCCGTGCAAAATGCTTCGAATTGGTTAGATATCCGAAGTGGTGGCCATCCAAAAACAAACTCACCATAACCGGTTCTTCATCACCAGCGGCGCACCAAGCCATAATCCATGTGCCTGATGCTTCCCCCACATTGAGCAATTCCATGGCATCCACTGTGAGTGTTCCCCCAAGCCTCACCACCGAGCAATACAACCAAATATTGGAACTACTAAAACCTCCTCCCATGGCCTTCGCAGGTAAGAAAATTCCCTCTTCCAAATTTTCCCCAAATTCGAGTGATTGGGTTATTGATAGTGGGGCAACCTACCATATTGCTACTTGCCCTCTAACAAATTTAAAATCTTCAAATTGCCCCCCTTTTGTGTCTTTACCTACAAGTACACGTGTTCCCATATCGTCCATAGGTGATTTATCTTTATCCCCACGTTTAACTCTTTCCAATATTTTATATATTTCCGATTTTCAATTTAATTTGTTATCTATCAGTCAATTAACGAAATCCCTTAATTGCCTTGTATCTTTTTTTCTTGACTTCTGTACTTTCTAGGACCTAGCCATGAAGATGTTGATTGGCGTGGGTGAAGAGCGTAATGGTCTATACTTCTTCAAGCACGTCCCACCAACCATTCTCCAGTCATCTAGTCAAACCTCGTTCAACACATGGCATCAACGTTTAGGTCATCCTTCCTTACACAATGTTCCGAAATTTATTTCACGTCCATAAGTCATTGATCATTATGATGCTTGTAGTCGTGGAAAACATACTCGTTTACCTTTTAATTTAGTTGATAATAAAAGTTTGATGCCTTTTGATTACATATTTTGTGATATTTGGGGTGGTTATCATACTGCCTCTTTGTCTAGTGCTCATTCTTTTTTAACCATTGTCGATGAATTTACTCGAGTCACGTGGATATACTTGATGCGTTTTAAATCTGAAACATTAACGTGTCTCCGTGCTTTCTTTGTTATGGGTCATACACAATTTAATTCCAAAATACGCCACATACGTACTGACAATGGACAAGAATTCCTTGCTCGCACCACACAAGATTTTTTTGCTGAACACGGCACCCTTCATGAACATACTTGCGTGGAAATATCACAACAAAACGGTGTTGCTGAGCGAAAGCATCGCCGTATTTTAAATGTGGCTCGATGCCTACGTTTTCAAGCTCACCTTCCTATTACCTTTTGGGGAGAGTGCGTACTCACGATTACCTATCTCATCAACCGAATTCCATCGTCATCTCTACACAATATTTCCCTTTTGAGCGCCTTTATCATCATGCACCCAAATATGACCATTTACGCGTTTTTTGTTGCCTTTGCTATGTCAATACCATTTCTGCCCATCGTGATAAGTTTCAACCTCGAGCTTATCCTTGTAGTTTCTTAGGCTACCCTTCATCTCATAGTGCATATCGAGTCTATGACCTCGAAACAAAGAAGATCGTTATTTCTAGAGAAGTCACTTTTCTCGAACATGTTTTCCCCTTCCAGCTTGCAGCTCAACCCGATCCCATACCTAATGTCCTACCCCTTCCTATCCCTGAACACACTATCCCACCATTAGATTTTTCCCCTCCTCCAGATCCCCATCCAGCCCCTCTATTCACTCGTCCCCGTCGCACTCTACATCGTCCTAGCCGTCTTGCTGATTATGTATGTCCTACCTTACCATCGGCTTCTGTCGTTACGCCTTCAACTACTGCAATCACATCTTCAGGTACGGCTCATCCCCTCTCTCATTTTGTCTCTTATCATAATTTTTTAGACAATCGCCTTGTTTTTTTATCTACTCTTTCACAATCTTCTGACCCTACTAGTTACTCACAAGCTGCAAAACATTCCCACTGCCGTGATGCTATGCAAGCTGAGATCTGTGCCTTGAAGCTAATCATACATGGAGTCTTACTCCACTTCCCCCTGGTAAGACACCCATTGGTTGTAAATGGGCGTTTAAAACTAAATTCCATGCAGATGGTTCCATTGAAAGGTCTAAAGCTCGGTTGGTGGCCAAAGGTTACACTCAGGTTGAGGGCCTTGATTATCATGACACTTTTGCCCCTGTAGCCAAACTTGTTACTGTTCGTTGTGTATTGGCGATTGCCGCAACCCGTAATTGGCATCTTCATCAACTTGATGTTAATAATGCCTTCTTTCATGGAGATTTGGATGAGGAAGTCTACATGTCACTTCCTCACCTCCTCCTGGTTATGGTCGAAAAGGAGAGACCCGTGTTTGTCGCCTACTAAAATCTCTTTATGGTCTTAAACAGGCTTCTCGTAATTAGTACTCCAAGCTCTCCTCTGTATTATTGTCTGATGGTTTCACTCAATCTACAGCTGATCACTCACTTTTTTTCGGACTGTTGGTTCCTCTTTTATTGTTCTACTAGTCTATGTTGATGACATTTTGGTTGCAGGAAATGATCTCTCTACCATTACTATTCTCAAGACTTTTTCTTGACAACAAATTCAAAATCAAAGATTTAGGTACCATGAAGTACTTTCTTGGCCTTGAGATTGCCCGGTCAACTCGTGGTATTTTTATCAACCAACGCAAATATGCATTGGATATTCTTGCTGACTTTGGTAACTTAGGTTCACGACCAGCTGCCTTTCCCATGGATCAGAATTTAAAACTTAATCCTGATGATGGCACTCTACTCTCAGACCTAGGTCCATACCGACGCCTGGTGGGTCGACTCTTGTACCTCACTATCACTAGGCCTGACATCTCCTTCTCTGTTAATATGCTAAGTCAGTTCATGCAGAGCCCTCGGGACTCACATCATGTAGCTGCACTTCATGTTTTGCGTTACCTGAAAAGCTCTCTAGGGCATGGTCTTTTCTATTCCGCTCCGTGTGATCTTCAACTTTCTGCATACTCAGATTCTGATTGGGCAAGTTGTCCCACCACTCGTCGTTCCACAACTGGCTTCTTCATTACTCTTGGTAACAGCCCTATCTCATGGCGCACCAAGAAACAGACTGTTGTTTCTCGATCCTCCGCCGAGGCTGAATACCATGCAATGGCTATGACCACATGTGAACTCGTTTGGCTCAAATCGATCTTGCTGTTTTGTACCCATAGCGTATTTTGCTCTATTGTGATAATGAAGCTGCTCTTCACATCACACGCAATCCTGCCTTCCATGAACGTACTAAACACATCAGCTTGATTGTCACTTTGTGAGTGAAAAATATTTGTCCGGGCTCATTCTCTCAACGCATGTCTCATCCGAGCTATAATTAGCTGACATTCTTACCCAAGGCTCTTGGAAAGGATTTATTTCAGCATTTCACTCG